TACATATCTATATATATATATATATATATATATATATATTGAACTACAAAAAAAATTGAGCCACACGTTTTGTGAAGGTAAGGAAGGGACAAGTATTATTGAAGCTTTCATTGATAAGTTGTTAACAACCATTATTTTCAAAAGATTTTCGAGGTGAAATAAGAATAGGATTCTTGTTTCGACTTGTGTAATATCTCGGGTACATTCGTAGGAGTGGAGGAAGACCAAGATTTACGGATTTGATTCCATGCTCTCTAATTTAAAAGGAGAACAAAGGAAGTTTGCTTAGTTGCTTCTCAATCTGATATCGAGTTAAAATTTGATGTTCCATCTTAAAATGTCAACCTTGTTCAAATTATTAGTTTAAATCCTTATAAACTGATCTATATTTTCATTTTTATTTAATGTGAGATTTTATCCCTTAACCGGTTGGACAAAGTTAAAATGAAGATTTTTTTTAAAGTTACTAGTTACCACTAATGTTAAGCATTAGTCTGTCGCTATTATATGATATTGAATAATAGATACATTTAAGCCCATGTGTGTCTACCATTATTTTAAAAAATTGTTTGATACAGTAAGATTCTCAACCATACATTCACTCAATAAAATATTCTACACACAAACTCACAAACCAATAAAGTTACTTTACTTTTCAATCACAGATTTTCTAAAAAATATTATTCATTACTCTATTTTTCTCCCAATAATTGAAGACAAACACGCCCTAAATATAAAATCACGTGACTTCGTGAGATAAATCCAATTATTTAACTAACTGTTTGACAAGTGACAACACATATTCCTAACCATGTTAAGTGCATTGATGTTAGCATGTTTCTATGGCTCTGGGCTTGGCAAAAAAGTGATTACAAACATAGGGAAAAACAAAAGTTGTGTTTTTGGAAGATATCACTACTAAAATTAATAAAATATTTTTCATACCATAATGTTACCGACTACTTATCAAACCAAATTATTCCACGTTTATATAGAATTCTTAAACAAGCTAAGCACGTTTTTTGCATAAAAATTTCAAAATTAAGCTAAATGAATATAATGCTCGACATATGGGTTGATCAACCATTCACATTACATGTGGATCCCGATCTGAATTAAATAACGTCGACCTTCTCGTGTGTGTTGTGTCATCTCTTATGTCAAACATTATGTTTGTATAACAAAACTCAAAAGTACACGGTAACGAAGGGAAACGAATCGGTATACCCACAAAAAGACAGAATGAAAGTCAACTTTCAACAACGTGCAGGCCTTGTAGGATAACATTTCTCTATCCATTCCATGGATTTTTGTGAATGATGTCTTTAATTGCATGATGGGTACTTGATGAAATATTATAATAGACAAATTATTAGTTTTCAATGAGGGCAAATAATTAAGTCCTTATTTGGTAGAAATTTAAATTTAAATTTAAATTTAAATTTAAATTAAAGTCATAACTAATTTTAACCACATATTTTATGGGATCTATAATTTCTCAGTCACACATTTCATTAACTTTTATTAAAATCTACTAAAAAATTGATTTTAATCCCTACCAAAGAAGGGTTAAATAAAGTGAAGATTAGAGAATTATTTTTCTTAATCGAATATTTTAATTGGTCTTTTGTATTTCTAGTTTAAGACTAATGAGATATCAAGTGATATATTTGTTTGTGAATGATTTTTAGGAATTGTAATCATGAGCTGAAGTGAATAAATAAAAAATTCATATAATATATTTATATTTAGTAAAAATAATATCTAATTTGTTATTAATGCATAATGATTTTAAGTAATAATATTTGAAATTATATATTATTCTGCTTTATTTTTCTTCATATCAATTTTGTTAAGAGCATCTCAAAACTAATTAATTGAAATAATGATATTTAGATTCAGGGCGTGTTCGGTAGAGATTAAAATCGGATTAAAATTGAAAAATTAACTGTTATTGTTATTATTTATTAAACGAGCAGGACCCAATAACGATTATATTTTTAATTTTAATTGAATTTTAAGCTTAACCAAACATGCTCTGCTATTAGAGTATCATTATAAATGAGAAGTAAATAATTTCTAACGCTTCAATCTTTGAATTTGATATATTGAAATGAAGTAGATTTGTACTTATAACTCTGACTAAATTGACCAAAAAAGCGGCCGAGGGAATATTATGCCAATAAATGTACTTGTTGTATATTATCATTTATATATTATTTTATATCGATGAGGTGACCAAAAAAAAGTGGAAAATTTTTATTTTTTAGTTGGTTGATGAAATTTTGACTCAATCATATCTCGTCACATCATGTGTTAAACAAATTTTTAAATTGTTATGTACATGTAGCACAGCAATTATGCTATCGACTTAGTTAACCATGTTAATAAAATAATTATCTAGCATTCTTCACGAGAAATTTTCGTGTCTCACTTGACAACTTGAGTTTTTAATGAATGGTCACTCCAACAAACCATTAAAAAAAAATAAAAAATTTGAAAAACGTGGTCTTATCCTTATCTTGGATTTAAAATAAAATAACTTTCCTATTGTCCTATCAAGTATCCCCCTCACCTCAAATCCCACCCAAAACTAGGGGAAATTGGAAAAACATTGTAAAGGGCAAGTTGGATCGCAAGAACTAAGAGTTGGGGTTTCAAGGGACGCGATAATGGGTTTGCAAGGGTGACTTGTGAACCAATGTACTATGAGCTTGCAAAATTGAAATGTGAAAAGTCAATTACTATAAATGGGTGTTTGATACGCATTATTGAGAAGAAAATGAATTTTATGATGTGATGTGATTAAAAAAATAAGAAAAAAATTTAGATTTAAGTGTAATATTATTTTATTGAAAAATGTGTGGTTGAAAATGAGTATTGAAAGAATGAATTTTGAAAAGAATATCGATCAAACAGGGGCTAAAAAAATGAAAGAAATATTCGCAATAAATTTCCAAGTTTACTTAGTTAAGGATATCGTCGCCATTTTGGCTTATAACATTCAAATATTTTTCGATGGGTCGTGTTACATGTGCATAAAAGTTTACACATTGGTTTACATCCATGTGAGATGACAAATTTTGATATATTGATCTTGACAACACATTTTTCAATCAATTGTCAAATTTTTGACATATGCCATCAATCAAAATGTACACTTTGTGTGTACAAGTACTTTAATCCTATTTTGATTGGTTACAATCCAATTTCAATCACCCTTTGTGATCTTATCTCTAAGTACATCATTTGTCATTAGAGTAATGCCATCTAATTTTATTGATTTTATCTAGCTTTATTTCTAACATCACTATATGTGACAACAAGATTAAATTATATATTCATTTAAATATAATGAGATATGATCCATTTAATTGGATATATCATATGTGTAGTCACCTAAACTGATACTCTAACATCAATGAAACTAGATATCATTATTCTATTCATTTTTCTTAGGGTCAAGCCAGCTATTTACGAGTTACAACTTCGTGGGCCTCATACAAATTATTTCATAGTGGAAAAAAATATATTGTGATTTCCTCTTTCCCAATTCAAATAATGCTAGTACAAATCACCGTTCTTTCTTTCTTGAGAATTGCCGCGGACTCATGATGCTCATAAGAGCATTCTTTCTTTATTGATCACAGTTGTCCATGAAAGGAAATTCTGTGTGGGCTGCTGTCATAAAAATTCAAAAGCCATACCATGTGGAGAAAACTCTCTTAAACTGGGGTCTACTTTTTAGCTTTCAGCTGATCCTCAATTGCCAACCACTATAAATAATCGGTTATTGGCTTAATCCCATAAACAAATCAAAATTTCCTATTCTTATCTTACACCTTTCTCTTTCCTCATCATGAGTAGACTTCCCGGGATAAACACTAATACGCATGAAGATGCATATGAGCTAAGAAGAGGACCATGGACTGTTGAGGAAGATGATCTTCTTGTTCACTACATAACTAGTCATGGCGAAGGCCGCTGGAATTACTTAGCTAAATTTGCAGGTACATCATTTCAAACAAACTTTCATAATCTTCTTATTTTGCAGTATTAATCTCTGAACTTAATTTCTCGTTTTTAATGGGGAATGGATGTAGGGCTTAAGAGAACAGGGAAAAGCTGCAGGTTGAGGTGGTTGAATTATTTGAAGCCTGATATTAAGCATGGAAACCTCACCCCACAAGAACAGCTCTTGATCCTTGAACTCCATTGCAAGTGGGGAAACAGGTGAATACTAATTTGCTATAAATCTTGATTAAGGATTGTAATTTGAGGTCCTCTTTGGGTTCTGTACACTTAATCTCCTCTACACGACACTGTAATTGCAGGTGGTCAAAGATTGCACAGCATTTACCGGGAAGAACAGATAATGAAATCAAGAATTACTGGAGAACTAGGGTTCAGAAACAAGCCCGGCAACTTAAGATTGATGCAAACAGCAAGAAATTTCATGAAGCAATTCGACGGTTTTGGGTGCCGAGATTGCTTGAAAAAATGGAACAAAATTCTTCAGAAACATCCTCTCCATCTTCTTCCATCTCAACCTTGGAAACTCAAACTCCCATAAGTACTACACCATGTCCTAAATACAGGTCCCAGGTGAATAATTCTGATAAGCACATGGGATATTCACACAGTAACTCAATAGAATCTGGGATAATTTCACAGCCGACTGCAGAGAATTCAGAAATTAATACTGCTTATGACAATTCATTTCAAGATGATGGCTACCATATGGACATTAGCAGTAATAACATGTTAGAAATGGAGTCCCAGCAGGAGATTTTGCTCTCGCAGTGCCAGCAGATGGCAGAGATTGATTGGTTTGGTGAAACAGTAGCTGGGACTTTTTGGAATGCTGATGAATTTGGGATTTTAGAAAACCATAATTACTAGACTTAAGTTTTAAGGTTCTTGTTTTTGAATAGGGCCAAGAAAAAGAGAAGCTAATATGTATATTTATGAGTTTAATGTTTTCCATGTGCTTTTAATCCTTACCTACTCATGGTAGTCTATGATAATGCTCGTCTTGCTAGCTGGCTTCGAGTTATACGAATATTGTGTGCACGTTTGGTTCAGCTTCAAAGTTACTTTTAAGTAAATTTTCATTTGTTATGCACACAAGTATTTTGCTTTTCACTCCAAGTATATAAAATATCAACCCCGTTTGACACACATTTTCTAAAAAATTCATTCTATTAAAACTCATTTTTAATCACACATTTTTCAATAAAATAATATTACACGCAAATTCAAAATTTTTCCTTATTTTTTAACCACATATTTTTCATCACTTCACATTATAAAATGTATTTTTTTTTTTTTTCATAATGTGCATCAAACGCTCCTTAAGAGTGAAAAAATAGGGTTGTTAGGGTGTTTTTGGAGATTACAATCAGATTTTTATTAAATTGTGATATAAATTTTTGAAATGTGTAGTTGAAAATTTATGGGACTCATAAAAATGTGATTAATATTAATTATTTGATTTTTTATTTAAATTAAAATATGATTTTAATCCTAAACAAGAAGGGCATTCAATATACTTGATTCGTTCACAACTCAAGATCGAGTCAATCATTCACATATTGACCACTATAAGATTATTAGTGGTAGATCAAAGATTATGTCACATCAAGAATACAAAATTGAATTGACAACTTTAAGATCTTAGTGGTGTCTAATCACGTGAATAGCACACTTCAAACTTTTACTGCTAAAATAGAGAGTCCTGGAAAAAGTGAATGGCCTTGCCGCCCTAGTTGGCATGATAAACCTAATCATGTAGGAGCTTGAGGTTTTGCATTTCGATCAATATGAAGTTGGTCAGAATCGAGCAAGTTAGGAATGATGAACACATCAAGTTGTGTATTCTAGTTCGCATTCCAAGAGCATCTCCAATAAAATCGTCGAATTGCGCTAAATGTAAAAGCATGTTACATTACGCTAAATTTTACATGATAACAAAGAAAGTAGATAATGTGTTAACACACTCTTCACATTTGAATTGTGTGTTAGACATCCTACTTTTAATTTTTTTTATAATTTATCCTCACTCCCTCTCTACATCCTATTTTGTACATGAGATTCCAATTTTTTCAATACACGATCCCATTTGAGATGATCTTTTCTCTATCCTTCATTTTGCTTGTCACGTGTACAACAATCCATATTTCAAAACGAGTCGTAATCGTCCATGAATAGAATCAGGATGACGACGAATCGATGAATGATTGAACTCGTTTACCACGTAGAACTCTACCTTTACAGATGGATGGTCGCTCTACCCAACTCAATGGCGTTTTCAACTTAAATATCATGTCGTGTACTCAACTTGAAGTAGTCGCATCAACAAAATGTATACTTAATGAAGTCGCACCTAGGCATGTGATTTAACAGGCCAAGTTCTTCATGTGAAAAGGGCACTAAATCTTAAAGCAAATATAGACATATACTCGCCCCTTTTCGAATTTCCATCAAATCATTCTTTTCACAATCGATTGTGAAGGGACTGGAGGGACCATCACATATACATATAACATATTTAAGTTACTTTGTTTTTTTTTTTTAATAAAAAAAAGAGTTGTTGGCCCCTTTTTATCTCTTTCATTAATAGATTTGAAGTTCATCCAAGAATATGTCCCATTAAAAGTCTGATTTTCTTTAGTGGTTGGCCCCTCCAAATGAAACTAGACTTCTCGTACACTGAGAGAAATTTTTCCACCATACTCCTTTGTTTTTTTCCCTCTCGTTTTTAGTCGACAAACGAATGAGGTCAAGGATGATTCCACGTTACGTCTATAATTTTTGTTTATGATATTCTTGAAATCGGATTTTGAGTTTTCTTGGAATTTTTGCTACCAAATCTCGACAGTTTATATTTATGTATCAAGCTAAACATGACTCATTAAGTTTTACAATAAAAGTTAAATTTAATTGCACTCAAATTACGTAAGTTATGTTACTCTCTTTTATCTAATTTCTCGTCAATGTTTACGTGGCAATTAGTGTATGTTTGATTGGGCTTTTCAAAGGAATAATGTTACTTATCATTTTCTATTTAGTCTAGCTAAAAAAGTTGATAAGAATCTTTGATAAAGTCAATAATTTATTTTAATCAATATTTCATGAAATTCACAATTTTATCAATTTTTCAAATATATAGTTTATAAACTTTTATTAAAATATTCTAATAATATGATTTATTTATTTTAATTTTTTTTTAACAAAACCAAACATGGGCTAAAGGTAAGTGGTGTGAATCTCATTTATGATGGCAATTCACTAAAATGGATGTATTCAATTGAGACTTTTGAATACTTTGATTGACTTTTTTTAAGTGATGATTTCTGTGAATTTCGCGGTTTTTTTATAGATTTGTATGGAATTATCGGAAGTTTTTTGTAGACTTTTACAGATTTTCATTTTAAAACTTGTATAATTTTTCGTAGAATTCAAAAAACTTTTGAACACTTTAATTTGAAATAGAATTCATGTGGATCTAGTACAATAGTGTGAAATTATCACATACGAAGTGGTGGTTTCCACAATTCCCCTTCTATTTCCCCTTTCCTCCCCCATATGATAAAAAAATATTTTAAAAGGAATAAAAATTTAAGACCTTAAATAAATAAATAAAAATAATAATTATACATATGAAAAATAAATTTAATATTCAATATTATTCAATATAATATACCTTTAAAGAATAAATAAAAAATATATATTTAATTTATTATAAATTAGTCTATATAAAATTTTATAATTTAATTAAAAATAGACATTTTGCACAAAAAAAATGAATGGGAAAAAAAATTATAAGAATACAATTTAATTTTTTTCTTAGAAAATAAAAATAAACAATAAGAGAGAGAGAGAGAATGAAACAAATATAATCAATAGAAAAAAAAATAAATTTTAATCATAACTCTAATATTCGTAGAAAGAAAAAGGAAATACAAATATTGAAAAAAAAATGCATAATAATTCCTTTTTTCGTTTTGTGAAAGTCTCCAAAAATCTTGTGATTAACGGGAGACAAATTTTCAAATATTTTTTTAGTATTTTTTGCTTAAAAATTAGTGCTATGGAGACTTTTATAAAAGTCTCTAAAAATCATTAAGCCCATGTTTGGACGGTATTATTCCTACATTTGTAGAAAAATTTGTACCGTTGAAGGGGCCCACTTAGCCCCTTTTGTTGACTTCCATCTCACACTTTGTGGGAAATTGGAGCTCCAACGCTACAATTTATTATTTTCATTCTTGGAATAATAATGTCCAAATAGGGGCCAAAATTTGAATATCTCAAAACTTATAGAAATTTCTTAAAAGTTTTAATTGAATGCACTGATACCAACTGACGCCAGATAGAATAGTGATTATTCTGCAAGTTGGAACCAATTGAGCAATATAGAGAAGAACGCTAGAGAAACACCAAGAGAAACGAGAAAATTTTTTATTATTCAACAACTGAACGAAAATAACCCACAAGCGGGGTTAAATAGTTAGAAAATATTAATTATCGGAATTTTGCCAAAAATAGCAAAATTCTATTATTCATACCAAAACGAAATACGTAATGAAATGAAGAAGATCCCAAAATTTTGGCTAAATTTGAGATCGTAATCTATGTCAAAAAGGAAATCGAAATATTACTAAAAATTGCAAAAAATAACTTAAATTGATGATTCGGACGGGAAAATAGCTGAATTTGGCCTCGAAACCGATGCACACCAAGCATAGCTGGTTGCCCACGACGTGCGCGCTGGAAAGAGCTTTCCAAATTGGAATCATAGGCGTGATTCTGACAACCGTAGTCAAAGTTATGGTAAAAATACCGAAACGTGTCCAAAAAGGGCCCCAATTAGGAAAGTTCGATGATTACTTGCCATTCTTGCGCTGATCCTCCAACTCATGGTATCTCAGCGCCATTAACGAACTATCAAACAGTTCAGGCTCGTCTGACTCGGATCCCCCTGCATCAGACTTTTATAAACTTTTTAAAAGTCTATAATGGTCTCAATTAAATACATAAACTCTTTCAGAGAGTTTAATAGTCTACATTAAATGCCTCTAGACTTTTTAAATCCCAAAAGTTATTAAAAATTTCAATTGAATACTGTCCCATAAATTTCACTTAATTATCATCCAATTTCAAGTTGAGATAAATAGCGTTAGTCCAAAAGCACTCATTCAATTAAACATAAAAATAAGTATTTGTTGATCAAAAATATATTATTACCAAGCCATAGGTGGCCTCCAAAGCCTACCACATAGGAGTCATAGGAGTGGAGCATTTCATAGGACGCAATGGCCACATCATAATGACTTGATCAAAGCTTTGCTGTTCAATAAAAATTGCAAGTGCGCGATACCGTCAAATTTGTATTAAAATGGATTTAAAAAGCCTGAATTATCGTTCACATGAAGATCGTATTACCTATTATTTATCTACTTTATCCTATTACATATTTGACTCAAAATTAAAAAGTAACAAGGAGATTGTTTGCCCTTTTATTTTCTTAACTAAAATTAAGCTAGAACCAATTAAAAAGGAGATTTTTTTAGATTAAACTATGATAACGAACGCTAGAACTCATTGTTTCACCTTAATCCTCTAATTAATTTATCATGACAAATATTTATATAGTGTATTAGTCGAACTTTCTAAAATAATTTAAAGCATCTCTTGAGTAAATCCAACTCAACATAATTAAGTAAATTCACTATATATTTATATGTGAATTTTAACCTAAGCCCCTGTTTGTCTTACATTATTCTTACCTTAAAATGAGTTTTTTTACCGTTTCAATCTGATTTGTGGGTCCCACTATAGAGAGAGTTTGGTAAAAAATGGTGGTTAAATCCATATTTCAACGATCACATTTTTACTTA